CAAGCTCGATGGTCGAGTGGTTAAGACATCTGCACTAGTAAGCAGGAGGTCGTGGGTTCGAGTTCCACTTTCACTGTTGGCTTTGTGCCAACCCTTCGGGCACATGCCACGTGCATGTACACACATATGATAGTAGGCATTCAGTTGTTTGGTGTTGCATCATGCGGAGCAATTTCACTGCAGTGGAACCTCACACTGTATGTGGAAGCAATACTGTGTGTGGGTCTAGGGTTATGCTATTGCAGACACTGAAGCAGGCCATTTTGTCACCTTTCGTAGTGCAGACAAGGCACAGCAAGGATTAAAAATGTATTCTGCTGACGTCCGATTGGAATTTGTCAGTTCCTTACAAAGTAGCTAAATTCAGCCTCTGGAAATGAGTATTAACCCTAACTCCCTAGGGTGTGTGCAAAATCATATTAATATTGGAGGATTCAGGACTGTTAGCAATAAGCATGTGGAACACTGTGTGTAGTCCAGTGTGAGAATCTTCAAATGTTTTTTCACCCTCAAAGTTAGTAAGATTCTCCTTTTCTTTTTACAATCATTTATTCTTATTATTCATAGCAGGATTTTTCCTGTGGGCCTTAAAGCTCAGAAAATAAACGGAAATTTGAGTGGCACATTTTTGTTCGAAAGGACAAGAATTATATGGAAAACATGTTCAATTATCGTGTTCAATTGTATTAGAGGATTTAAAATAATTTGCTTTTTTCATCAAATGTTCTTTTCAGCCAGGGGAAACCTTCACCAATACTAGACCAATGATTTCATGATGACAAGAGTCACCTTATACACACAATAATTTCACAAATTGTCTGTCGCATTATGACTTGTCAACTGAAAAGTACAATAAAATATCTTTTGCTTTGGTTTTAAAGTTGCATTTTCTGATGAGTGCATTCATGATTTGGAGACATCTGTACCCTAATACTATTGTTAAATGTGAACAGTCAGTTGTAACTTTCTGTTACAGTCAAATGAACAATAAATTTGCTAACTTTAACCAATTCACATTCTTAGCTGCATAACTAATTCCTCTACATGTATATCATCAAATTAAAATTTTCAATGCGAGAAAGAATCACACAATCCTGTTATGTTTGATAATGGATACAGACATGCAATAGACACAGCATGATGACAGCAAAGTTAAAACAAAGGTGCCATATCTCCTACACTAAACTGCTATCCATATTCGTGTATGTTGACCAGATTCATGCAGATCTTTTTATGACATAAATTTGTAAGGATACAAAGAGAATTACTTGATTTTTTCAATTTAACTAAAATTGAAAACTTATTTTACTTATCATGGTATGATTGTTGCTATATTCACCCTCGCTGATTTGTACAAATCAATTCCTTTGTAAGTTTGTGACTCTGACATGCTTTTTGTTCATCAAAATGTTGATACTGATTCCCTATCAAATTTAATGTATCAAATTTAATTTAACTGACCTCATGTAAGGCCAATACAAAAGACCCCACTGCTGTTTATTACTCAGGGACAAGAAAGGTCAATCTACCTGCAGTGGGACTTTTAAAACAGAAAGGTCTCCATTGACACAGCACTTCCTCCTGTATAGTATTACTTGGAAAATGTTAAACAACACCTAAATCTTTTGTGACTATAGAGGAGACCCAGAGCTAGTGTAAATGTGTGTTGCTCATACCTATATGTGGTGTCATTGGATGTAACCCCATCTTCAGTGTTGTACCTCTTTTGTCTTGATCCGTTCTATTTTAGGTTTAGATAAAGTTCAAGAATTCAACCAGATAGTCTTCCATGCAGGCACTGCCATCTGTGATAATAAGGTTGTGACTTCTGGAGGGCGTGTTCTAGCAACTGTTGCCCTGGCAAATAATTTGCCAACAGCTGCAGCTCAGGCTCTGAAGTTAGCGGAAATCATTCACTTTGAAGGAGGATTTCATCGAAAGGATATTGGATTCAAGGGTTGTGAATTCTTGCAGAAAAACAGGTGATCGTTAATGTCCAGCCTGTTAATTATTAAATCTAACTTACATGTATAATAGCAATTTGGAGAGATACTTGTGGTTGTTTATATATCAAAAGGGCCTTTTGAACTGTTATGTGGTAGACTTGTGCTAGTTCTTGAAAGGGGCATAAAATTTCCTGTCGCTTAAAAGTTCTGTATTGGGTTCGTAAAACATGCTTAGGGTTCGTAAAACATGCTTCGTGAAACATTGACTTATTTTTTAGGGCCCTTCTATTTTCCCCTCAACTTCACAGTTGTAATTTGTAGTTTTTATTGTTTTAAATTATTTTTGGTTGTTGTTTGATAATGAATTGAGCTTTGGGGGTGTTCTTGAAAAACTGTTTCATCCCGTCTAACTTCCTGACCTTTTTTATTTCTTTACTATCAGGACAGTAAGCCAGACTGGTTTAACCTATGCAGCCTGTGGTGTAGATATAGCAGCAGGTAATAACTTAGTTGATGCTATTAAACCATTAGCTGTTTCCACATCGCGACCAGGCTGTCATGCTTCACTTGGTGGATTTGGAGGTCTGTTTGATATCACAGCGGCTGGTTTCAAGGATCCAATCTTAGTTTCTGGCACTGATGGTGTTGGCACCAAGTTGAAGGTTTGTAGAATTGTATTCCTGCTTTTCTGGTCAACTGTCCATTGCAGAATTTTATAATGAATTATAGATAGGCTACAGATGAAGAAGTAAGGGTTGAAAGTTTAAGAGAAGATAGTAAGAAAAATAAAGATAAAATTCTGGTGAAGTGAATGAAGGACTTACAGCCACAAGACAAGGGCTACTGGAGTCAATTTATATTCCTGTGCGGCTGATCGTGACGCTCTGTTTCAGGTCTGCATTCACCCCAAGTTTCTACCCTTCAAAGTGTTGATCGACACAAATATTTATCACCATTTTACTCAGCTAGTGACCGTGACCTTTCCAGACCATTTTCAGCATCAGCTTCGTCTTACTTTTGGAGCTATTAGTGAAATTCATCTTGTATTTCTTGCTTCTCTGAACTGAGAAGTGAAGCCATCGTACTTGCATAAAGCTTCCTGCTTAGTGAACTGTGGATGCCACTTGCCATGTTACAATGACTCTATATACCTCAACAGGCTACACCTGCTGGCAACACTGCTATTATTATTCATCAGCTGTGACCACTATGAAAACCTCTTTGTTCCCTCTGGATCTACTGTGAAAGCCAGGACGGGACATAGGCCTACGAAATATCACAGGCAGAGAATCCTGTATGACAACAATTCCTACTGCACCTTTCAGCTTCAACTCATAGGGTCAGGAGACATTAAACTAAATCCAGGCCTTTCCTCTACATGTACATCTGGACCTCGTTTTACGCGAAAGCTGCTGTCCCGCTTGTTGCATGTGTAACCGATCGACCGCATCGTTAAGCGTACATCATGTACAACTTCCTGTACATACATGTAGGCCTACATGTACTTTGTATGCACGTACGTGTGGTTTGGAATTTTATTTCAAAACAGTTTATGTTTATTAAAGTGAGAAGTAACTGTACTTTTTATGAATAAAGACTTGAAATAAAGAACAATAACATAATACCAGTCAAGTCGAGTTGGAGGATGCAAGTGTGGAGCGATGCCATTTTATGTCCCCAGCACGCCGCAATTAGATCGTCATACAAGGCACGCACGTAAGTACATTAACATTTTATGTGGTAACCAACATCAGTGCTGCACTTGTTGCACAAAAAGGATGGGAACCAGTTATTGGTTTTGTGGATCTGCCAGTAGAGGGCTTCACTTGGTGAGTGAAAACCGCAGCGCTTTACTGCTGCTGTACACAATCAATTACGGAAGCGCCTTTAGGAATCCAATGGATTGACTGAGTGACAAGTTGCCTTCAAAAACGCTTGTGCTAATTAGACGGATAACAATACATTTGCATGCAGCTGGGGCCCCCCAAAATGCTCATCTTAAATGGAATCTTGTAAAACCCGAGTTGGTATTATGGATTTTTTTTCCTCATAGGAATGTGCATAATTCAGTCGGGACCAGCAAATATACTCGCCTTAACCGGAGTCTCGTCTTACCCGAGCTCGTTTTACCGAAGGACTGTACTGTTTTTTTCTGCAGACAATCTTGGAATACAGCTCACCAGTTTGGCTACCCCACCAGAAAAACCGCATTCAGTGTCTTGAAACAATCCATCGCTACTTCACAAAATATTGCCCACCTTACAATGATGCTATTTCTCTTACTTATTAACAACGTCTTGCCAAACTTCACTGGCCTCCTCTGTACAACTGTCTGCTCAGCATCTCATTTGTCGTCAAAATCCCTCTACAAATAGGTTTCTGTTTCTTCCGAATTTGTCCCGCAGGTTAACACCAGGAAAACCAACACTTTATTGTAGTGCTGCAAGTAGGAGCCAAGGTTCAGTTGTGGTACGGCTCAAAAATTGTCGAATTTTGGTTCGGTTCAGGTTCTAACATTTGCACACGTACATGTACATGCATGTACAATGTACAAGGCATGTTGAGACGTCGATGAGCTCGCTATGAACATGCGGTATGTAGTACATCTGTGTATAAAATATGTTGATACAAGCAATGAATCTCCTCTCCATCCCCATCCACAAGCAACTTCGATGGGAACATTTTTTTTTCTAAACTATTTCCCCAAAGTCTGTATAGGAGTTAAAATTCCATAGAAAGTTAGTGTTGGAGTTTTGACAGTTTCCAACCATGGTTTGCCGACCAAAAGCAGTTGTGTTTGGACCAAGCTTGACTCAACAAAACGATCATAGGATATGTGAAAGCAAAAAAACAGCATGCTCAAATGGGAGTTTCCTCCTTTACAAGATCAAATTGGATTTCGAGCGAAGTGCGGTTTGGTAATATGTCACGAAACAGACTCAACTACCAAACTATGGCTTTTAATGTAAGAAGAACCTTGGTAGCAAGTCAGCATTCTTCCCAGGATGGCACCCCAGTGGCCAAAGGGGCGATTTTCCATCAGTCTTTTTTGGATGGATAATGGCATTTTGAGATTTGCGAACAACTTACAGATCTGGTAAATTCCATTACAACATATTCACACTGTGACTTTAACCAAACATGGTCAAATGAAAGGTAAGTTAGGCCACCGTTTCCAACCAAATCCTGTCTCACGGTGGAGCATTGCACCGGCTCCCCTGGCAAAATCGATTTTCCCTCTGGAGTAGCCTTTGATTGAGCAAGAGTCCGACGGTGATCAGCATCCAATCAAAACTTGTTTTGCTCGGCCATTTATGACATCATTAGCCTAACATGGAATGTAAGGGCGTGGCTATCAGAGATTGGCAAACAATATTAAATCTGAATAAACATAAGCACAGTTGTATGTAGTGAGAATTCACCGTCTTTCCTAGATATTTTAACTCCCTCTCCAGGGGATATTTGGGACCTTGTCTTGAACCTTCTTTGAAATCCTTCATCAACTCTCTACGAGAGTCTCTCTTCAGCCATGACCCCATTTCACATGCCATCTAGAACAGTCTTTCCAACATACATGTAATATCCCTCCCCACTTCCTGCCCACCAGAAGTCAATTATCAAAATATCAATATTAATTATAATCCTATGTGTAACACCTTGAAAATGATGGTTATAGTTATTTAAGTTATTGATGTACTGTTTATATTAATGTCATTATCTGAATTGGTTATTTTAGTTTCATTTGATTTACATGTAGTTTAGTTATCATTCAGTTTCCAACACTCCGTTCTATTACTTACATGTCGTGTCAAAAACGTATTTTATTTCATTTTATTTGACTGGATAAAACTGTTAATCTTGTAAATATGCTTTGTACCTTAAGATAAATATTTATACTTAAATCTATATATATCCAGTTAGTTTGTAGAGCTTCTCAACAGAAACTTGTTTCTTTTAGGCAATCTAGTGGGAACTAAGTGGACATTGTGTAGTGTTTTTTGTTCCTCTGTGCTGTTTATATTTGTATCTACAGTTAACTCCGGCTAAGTCGGCATTCTCGGGACTCAAGAAATTATGATGACTTACGCGAATGCTAGCTTGTGTTGTAAGTCGTCATTTTGCAGACTTACACGTACATGAGTAGTTAAATTTTACCAGAGAGAGGGGTGGTGGATAACCCAAAATATTAACCACTCCCTGCTGGGCGACCCGTTTTCGAGTACATGGGCTTTATATGCAGAGCCGGGGAGCCCAGAACTGGGACAAAAAGAGTTGGGCCTTATAACGAAAGACCATGCTCAGCACAAAAGATTGAGCTGCTGGGCATTACCGACATTTTTTCGCTCTCAGTAGTGGGCATAATCTAGCCTTGTTTTGAAACAATTCAAATTAATCCAAGTTACCTTAACCCCCTTTAGTGTCGGTGCAGTCAATGGACGGTCAAATCCAATTTGGCCCAACCTGGCATGTATTTTTGCTGGCTGGCCACCACATACTACCAAACCCTGACCACTTGACTGGCCAAAATTGGCAGACAGCAGGCCAGTGGGAAGGCACCACGAAAATCATACAAATGGGTAGTTAAACACTGAAGAATATGCAGCCCTGCCACAGCATACATTTTTAATTTATGGTTTACATTCCTTATTATTTTTTATCAACACAAGTTGATTATAAGTTAAGGATGTTGACTAAATATGATCAAACATTCATTTTTATTGAGGTGTATAATGTTCAAAAATATTGATATCTCTGAACAATATGCAAAGATGCTTACAAGAAACTACCTCAAGCAAATTAGAGTTCAACAGGACATAGTTCCATAATGTGCCTACAAAAGTGCAAAATGCAGATTTAAATGTGTACAATCTATAATCGAACAATTATTGAAGGAAAATTAGAAGTGCTCACTAGGTGAACAACGTCTGCATGTTGGATCATGTTTCGATCCAACACAGGAAGTTTCGGGAAAGTCGTATGTGTACATTTAGTGTATTGTACATGTACAGTACACTGTATGTGTTGTGCAGGCGCATTAAGGTGGGAGCGCGAAGTGCAGCTTTGGCAAAGCACGCTGGCATGGTTTGGGGGATTTATAATTCTCCACGTGCCTAAATAAATCTTTTAATGGAAACACGCATGCTTTAATAAACTGACGCGCACAAGAAGCTGTACTTCTTTCTTTTTTTAAATTTAAAACAAAGACAGGACACACTCTCCAAGAATTCCCCCCCCCCAAAAAAAAATTTGGGGTCAAGCTTTCAAAATAGGGTTGGTCGTGAAACGGGAAACACTTTTTTTTTTTGGCCTAACCATCATGTTTTAATCTACACGGATCATGATTTGTTGGAGTTTTGTGTTTCTATATGTCTGATTTTTGTGTTGATTTGTCCTCTCCAAGTTACTTTTTGACCAACTTTTCGAACAATCTTTGCGCCTACTTTGGCAGCTGGGACTTGGAATGGGCTTTTGGTGCTGACACTCCCAACATGCACTATGCGTGAGTATTTCATCAAAACAAGTATTAATGCCTACGACCAATGTGTTTTACTACAATGAGTTTGACAGCTTTTCAAGAGTTTCTCTGCCCTGGGTTGTGTCACGGACGTATGTTAAAAAACCTGGACTTGCAACACCTTTGTATGAAATAGAAGCCAACCAGCGGCCATTTTACCGAGCCGCATACAAATGCGAGGGTTGGCTCGCTACCATTGACGCCAGGGAGAACAAAGGCGGGCATTGCTGGGCAAGCTTTGTATTCGGCTCGGTAAAATGGCTGCTAGTGGATTCAATGATCTCTATAAGCTGATCAAGGGCATTGCGAGTCCAGATTTTTTTATATACGTCCGTAGGTTGTGTCGCCTCTGCACATATATTTTCACATTAATACTACATCAGGTTTCCATCAAACAATTTCATTAGCGAAGTGCAACAAACATGGCTATACATGTATACAATGGCTGCTGGCCATTACCGACATTTTTTCACTCAATAGGGGAGATCATCTGTCCTCGTTTTGAAACAGTATACCATGGTTTGGGGCATTTAGAGCAAGTGGATTACCACCAGGGACAAAAGCTCTCCACCACTACAGTGATGAGCCTCACAGCACTGCTGCTCACTAATCAGCCCCTATTGAAAAGAGGTCAGCAGCAGCAGCAGCGCACTGTGCCAGGTTCGTGAACAAAAGAAAGTTACACAACACCACACAATCTGGGCTCCTTTTCCAAGGCTGCAGGCCTGGCTGAAGTATTCAGGCATCAATAAATTTGTCTGTCAGACTAGAATGGCCACCAGAGTAATGGTAATTCGTGTGGGTGTAAATGTCCATTCATTTAAATGATGAATTTTTGAAGAATTTTGAAAACTGAAAAATCTTGAAAAAGTCCCGATTATGTGCACTGCATTTTTCAAACAATCCGGCAGCAAGTGGTTAAACTGGGTCTTTCACAACTCGTCATATTTGCTTACTTTACCTTGAAAATCCATGGTGGGTCGATGATGACAGATACCCTCACAGTGGTCTCGGACGGCGGTTGCATTGGTAACTGTGAAGGCCAATGTGGGAACGGCATTGCCGCCCACACTTGAGGCATTGGAGGTCCAGTGCCAGTGGCGGAGCGGGTTGAAGCGCTGCCTCATAATGCTGACACAACACTCATTTCATTGTCGAGTTCGTTCCATCTCGAACTGGGCAGTTCCTCGATGGCAGGCAGCGTACCACCCAGCTCTGGCAGCAACTACGGCTTGGAGATGGTCTGAGTCGATGTTGAAGCTCTTCAGTGTCTTCTTGGCTTGGTCTTTAAACCTCTTTTTTGAGCTGCCATAGGTGCATCTCCCCTCTGACAGTTGTCCATAGAAGGTGCATTTTTTTACAGAAAAGTAACGGGCATTCAGAGCACGTGCCCCAACTATCTCAGCTGTCTGCCATGGAGGAGACATCGATGCTTGAAATCCCGGCACACTCCAGCATGTCATTGTGAGGCACACGGTCTTGCCAAGTAAGGCCCAGAATTTTTTTTGATGCACTGCATTTGGAAGGCTTCAAGGAGCTTGATGTGTTTCTGGTACAGGGTGAGGGTTTTGCACCCATACAGCAGCATGTTGAGATAGATAGCTCGGTACACGGTAATCTTCGTTGCAAGTCAGAGGTTGTGGTTCGGGATCACTCACTTTGAGATCATACCAAAGGACGCTGATGCCTTGTTGATTCTCCGGTTCACCTCATCAACAGAGCAATTGGCCGACAGCGCATGACCAAGGCAGTTGAACTGAAGAGAGATCTTGAATTCAGTTCCGGCGATATTCATAACAGGGTCCACATGTGGGGCACTACCAGACCATCGGTACATTACTTCAGTTTTGTGGGTGTTGATGACAAGTCCAAGAGTGCTATATGTGTCGTAGATGACATTGCTTCTTGTAGGTCTTTAGAAGAGTGTGAGATGAGTATGCAGTTGTTCACGTACTGAAGCTGAAATGCTTCGTCGTGCAAGACCTTTGTTCGGGCTTGGAGATGGCGCAAGTTGAAGAGACTTCCATCAAGCCCATATAGAAGACCAACACCATGCCCATGTGGAAATCTTTCGCAGAAAAGGATGGTGGCTGCAGCAGTACATCTAGCCAGTCTCTCTGTATGGAGGATGGAGTCGAGCATGGTGCGGACGTTCCACGCTGCGACTTAAATGTTACATTTCTTCATATTCATGTTTTGGCCACTTAGGAGGGAATGGTCCAGCAGGCGTGGCTACCTGCCAAGACATTTCTTTGAGGCAGACAAATTTAGGCGACCTTTTCAACGCCCCTCCCCTTTGCAGGGGGAAGTAGTGTGGACCTAAAAAGGGTTGCTTGTTGTTTACGGTCTTAATGTTTTTAACCGTTTTTGGAGGAACTGGAACTTGTGCTGGATGAGATAATAGGACACTGTGCAGCCTCAAGAGCACAGGGAGGATTCATTTGTGTGCGATGCTCTCAAACCGAGTGACTGGCAATGGAAGAAAGTGTATGGATGAATGTCAGATAGGCATTTAACACAAATCATCTCAAATCGTACCAGGGTTACTGATACTTCAGAAACACTTATCAATCATGACTGGACTACCTGTCCCCATATGTACTCATGCAATGGTGTTTTAGCATCGATCACTATTGATCACTCATTATGTTTGGTTCGTAAAGCAATTAAACTTCCTAAGGGGCTTGTTCGTACAATTAGGGCTAAATTATATTGATCATTCAACGAAATAAACTTTTGATCTGGGGGCTATCTCCTGGAGAGATCTTGGAAAGGCTGCTAGTCCTGACGCAGCCTGGAAAATCTTTGAGGAAATTTTGGCCAAATATGTAACAAGCATGCTCCTTTTTAACAAAGTAAACTGTCCCATAGGATTCCTTATTGGCTGTATGATAAGTATTGTATTCTATGAAAGCAAGTGGAGCAAATTAAATTTAGCGCTTAAATTACTAAATCCTAAGTTGAATGGGTTAAGTTCCGTCACATAAAAAACAGGGTTGATAATCTAGCAACAAGAAATTTGCTATTTACTTTTGTTGAGATCATTGTATCAACTATTGTTTTTATGGATTTCGTTGTAATTGCTGGGCATCTTTGGAAAACGGTGTTTCACTGAAAGGTCTCTCCAGCGTAAATGAGAATGGATTTTAATTTTTGGTTTTTAAGTAGTTCAGTTGAATTTTGGATTTTTAGTATTTTATCATATTTGATGGATTTAACTGATTTTATTGTAATTGCTGGGCACCTCTGGAAATCAGTGTTTCACTGAGAGGTTTCCCCAGGATAAATAAATAATAATAATGAAAGAAATAAATTTCTATCAGTTCAGTTGATAATTTATATAATTATTTTCTACGTGTCCCAAGTACGACCAGTACAGCGGTTAGAAAATTTTGAAAACCTAGACAATTACACCTCATGCTTGCTTTGTTTATGCAACATTTCAAAGCAGGGGATGAGTCATTCTTTGGTTCAAAACATTCAAAGTACTAGAAGTTGTTCTTTTTTGGTAATGTTTAGGATGCAGCATTAGTGGTGTACTACTTTTGTTGCTAATTGAGCACTGCATAATGTACGTTAACACTGCATGACCTCTTGTTTCCTACACATTTGCACTTTCAGTGCCATATGCTGATTGTTGAAAATGTTACTGTCATGAAATGAAACTTGAAACTAAAAAATGACAAGTCTTTGAATGGTTAATACAGTGAGTAAAACATTGAGTTGTCATTGAGCCATTGATAATTCATTAATAAGGAATGAAAGAAATGTTAATTAATGTAATTGCATTCTGTTAGTATTACAGTTGACCAGAGTAATCTGACAACCATATTTCAACCTAGTTAACAACAGGGGATTCACCCAAAATACAAAGGACTGTGGATGGTCCAAACTGAGCTGCTATAAGAAATAAAAAAGCCTGTGTAGCAGGGACTGCAGTTATACTTTATAGGGTGTGATTGATGTATTTATGGGGTGGGATTGATATATTTATGGGGGTGTGATTGATGTATTTGTGGGGTGTGATTGTTATATTTATAGAGTGGGATTGATATCAATGTGTACTTCTCTGAACGTTGTCTTGAGATCCTTTTAACATTAGCCCATAGTGGTTCTTGTGATTTGTAAAGAGAAAGAAAAACTATTGTCCCCCAAACAAGATGTCCTTATCAGAATGTAATACTTGAAGCCAGATACAGCACCATCACCATTTAATAAGAAGTATACATGTGAAATGTTCACACTCCTATGTTGAAGCTGGAAACTATGTAAAATTAAACTCTTTCTAGAAATGGGTGCGATATTGAGTTGTTTTTTAATATTTTGACAAAAGCATACACATACAATCTTACACAAAGTTATTTGTTCCCAATGTCAGATTGCCCAGTCCTGCAACCTTCATGGGACCATTGGTATTGATTTGGTTGCTATGTGTGTCAATGATGTTCTTGCACATGGTGCAGAGGCACTGTTCTTCTTGGACTACTTTGCCTGTGGCAAGTTGGATGTGCATGTTGCAAGGGATGTCATCAGTGGAATAGCTGAAGGATGCAAGATGGCTGGGTGTGCTCTACTTGGTAAGTTCTTAGAGCATCCTTTTTCAATTGATATCCCTCTGATCTCATTACATGTTTACTTGTGGCACCTTCTACTCATCTGACTTGAAGCAGACCCTAACAGATTCATTGGTCAAGTGGTAAAATGTTAACACCAATAAGCAGGAAGATGTGGGTTCCGGTCCCACTTGATTAAACCTCAGACATCACAGAATATGTAATGTTTGGAAATATATGTGAGTGAAGGGTAAAACACCCAAGGTAAAACTTGACAGGTTTGCAATGCAATAATTGCATCTTATAAAGTACTTTGTGAGATTGTATAATAGGAATTGTGCATTTGGTGTGGTATGCATTTGATCACATTGCACATCAAACTCAAAGACCGTGTCATTTTTTTTTTACCTACAGGTATATCATCCCCAGAAAAAAAGTGACTGGGATCCCAGTGGGAATCCCTCTGAGATCCCACCGGGATGTCAGGTGGAATCCCACCAGGAATTTTTGTTGGGATAGTTACTGGGATCCCACAGGGAATCCCTCTGGATGCGGGATGGGATCCTACCGGGATGCGGGATGGAATCCCACTTGAATCTCAGGGTGGAATCCCATCTCGTTTACGGTGGGATCCCGCCTGGATTGGGATATCAGTGGGATCCCAGTGGGATCTGGGATCCCAGTGCAATCCCACCCAGAACCCAATGTGATCTGGCGGGATCCTGCTGGGATAGGGTGGGATCCCGCTGAGATAGGGTGGGATCCCGCTGGGATAGGGTGGGATCCCACCTGGAATTTTTGTCGGGAGTTGCGTGGGATAGCCGGTATCATGGTGGGATTCCAGTCACATCCCACTGATATATCCCAGGTTGACGCAACTGACATCCCACTGGCATCTCAGTTTGATGCAACTGACAATCCAACTGGGATTCCAGTTGGATGAAAGTGACATCCCAAGGGGGATCCCACTTTTGTGCAAATGACATCCCATTGGGATCCCAGTTTGGTATGTCATTTTATTCCAAACAATCAATTATGCTACTCGGAGCTGGAACAGTTGCAGTGCATTTCTACGTTCCTATAGGCAACAGCTCTCACTTTCATGCTCAGGCTTATGTTCCTTTTGCATAAGGAGTGCCGAATATATACAAACAACAGCTTGGAATGTGTGGTCCTAATCAAAACTTGTGTGGGCACAAACTAATTTGAAGAGGCACAGGGACTTTCTCTTCTTTGGAGAGGGTGCTCTTCTGTTCATTGGTAGATAGATCTCATCTCAGCATTTGCAGGCCTCTCATAGTCTTGCGGCAATGAATTGCAATTCTTGCAAGCCGCTGATTTGTTCTGAAAAGGCATCAGGTAATAAATTCAATAATAAATCCCTTGCACATGTGCTTGGGATTTATGGCAATTATCCATTTGACTGTGATGACACATCAAAGCCTATCCTCCATTAATTGTGAAGTCCTCTTCAACTTATACATGTACATGTATTTGTAATGTTGGAATTTTGTTACTGTGATATAGGCCTATATACTGCAGGTGTGTGGCCCATTGCGTCTGTGTTAATTTTGTGATTTGGGATTGCACCAAAATTTTAATTTTTCATTCTGGGCCACATGTCCCTGACATATTAGAATGATGATGCTATCATGTAGTTCGGAGTGCAGGGTAAACTACTCTCTAATGTGCTCTTGGCCAAGTAAAGGCAAGAATATGTGGATGAGGTACATATCATTAATAAGTCAAGTACAAATACTGTGTTTTTTTTCTTGCAGTTAAGAAAACTCAGTGAAAATACTTGTTTTTCTTGAACTGGCAACATGATTTTCAGCTGGCTTTTTGTACAAGGTTTCCTTGACGATTCCTCTTCCTTTTACGACTGATGACCCCAACCCCAAAATGCCTCTAAACTTCTTTTTCTGAGAAGGGGAAACGTCCTGTGGACGTGTGTGAGTCCATAGAACGTCTTCTTTTCCTGCATCGTGTGGACATCTTTTGTTCACAAGTCCACTCTAGGTCTGTAAGATTAGCGCATTCTGACGGATATGCTCTGTTATGCTGCAAAAGATGTTTGTGGCAAGCAGTTGTACATATGCAGTTGTGCTCAAAATTATTTAAACCCTTTGGAAAATAACATCCTTTTCTAAATTCTTCATTTTTAAAATCTATTATGTTGGTACTTTCACTGTATCTTTTGTCTATTTTTTTTGCAATACACAAACACATTTGTGTTAGCTAAACTTCATTTGCATAACAATAGATATGGCCCGGGTTTCTTTTCGCTCCTAGTAAACATTATTTATACCCCAGGTTTACATAGTCCAAAGTCTCTTCTTAATAGTCGACAACGTGATCTTCGTTCTTGATGACTGCCTCAAGACAGTTCCTATAAGTGTTCACAAGCTTTCTTTATGTCTCCTGTGGGATGTTGGCCCACTCTTCCTTGTAGAAAGCCTCCAGCTGGGTGAGGTTGGATGGTCTCCTGGCCATCACTCTGGTCTTCAGCTCCCTCCACAGATTCTCTATTGCCATATTGGATTTAGTCTAGGTCAGGACTTTGACTTGGCCATTCCAGTACATGGACACCATTGTCCTTGAACCACTGCTTTACTACCTTGGTGGTGTACTTAGGGTCGTTGTCCTGTTGGTACGTCCAATGACGTCCAAGTTGGAGTTTCTCAGCAGACGCTTTCACATCGTTATTGAGGATCTTGATGTAATCCTCCTTTTCCACGATGCCCTGGATCTTAATGAGGTTCCCAGTGCCACTAGCAGAGACGCATCCCCAAAGCATTATGATGCCACCACCATGCTTTACGGTTGGGTCTGTGTTCTTCAGCTTGTATGCTTTTCCTTGCTTCCTCCAGATGTAGGCAATATCCATGTGGCCAAACAACTCCATCCTTGTCTCATCAGACCACAGGACCCATGACCAAAATGTACATTTAGAATCTTGGTTCAGATGTGCTCTTGCAAATGTCAGACGATTCTCCTTATGTTTCTCCTTCAGTAGTGGTGTCTTCCTTGGCCTGCGTCCGTTGAGGCCTCATTTGTGCAATACTCGCTGGATGGTTGCTCGTGAAACCCTGCCTTGCCAGGGGTATCAGTTAGGGCATTGGTTGTGATCTGTGGGTTGTTACTAGCCTCCCAGCAGATTTTTCTGGCAAGCCTAGGCGATACCTTTTACTTCCTGCAACACCCATTAAGGTTTTTCACTGTGTTGAACTTCTTATGCTTCCTGATGATACTCTGAACTGTTGCAACAGGGACCTCATATTGCTTGGAAATTGCCTTGTAGCCTTTGCCTTCTGTATGGGCATTCACAATATGCTGGCTTATATCCTCACTGAGTTCCTTCTTGGCCATGGTGACGAGTAACTGAGAATGATCTGAAAACTTTTCTTCTTTTTATACTCACTGAAGGAGATGGCATTTCATCAGAATCTTGAACACAGTGTCATCAAGAGAAGGTATTTATTCTCCTGGAACATCTTGAAATAGCTTCATGCCAACGATGCTTGCAGTCATAGAAAATGAAAATAAGCATTGAGATTTTGTCTGGGGTATGAATACTTTTGACCAGGAGCAAAAAAGAAACCTGGGCCGTATCTTTTATTATGCAAATGAGGTTTAGCCAACATGCGTGTGGGTTTGTGTATTGCAACAAATAGACAAAAGATATAGTGGAAGTACAAAAGGAAGAAATTAGAAAAGTATGTTATTTTTCAAAGGGTATGAATAATTTTGAGCACAACTGTATGTACAATGCACTTACAAAAGTGGCTGCAGAGTTCATATTGGTAACACATGTACATGCAAATTCTATTGCAGAAAGTATGCCACCTTTGCATTTTCAAATGCACATGCACAAGCATAACCACTGAAAATAACACAGACATGACGTCACCCCACTCACACTGCATGTCCTACAATTCCCTGTGTAGCTTGCCCCTTTTTTCCAGCGTGCGCACCACTGAGTACATGCATTTTCTCTGAGCTGCGTGTTGTTACTTAGTACTTGTTTACACAACTGTATTTCCAACACTTTCAACCATGTGTGTTAATCATGCTTAAGGGAAAGTTTGTTCAGAAATCTACAAGTAAATGTCAGTCCTGTGGTAACCCATCGTCAACCTTTAGATTTTGATGTTCTCTTGAACTTCTACAAACACCGAGAATTGGAGGAGGAGGAGACATGACTATGTCCATTCCTTCGCTCCCTTTCTCCAATTTGGCTGAAAGGGAGCTGTTCTGGGTCATCTGTGGGCCACTGCACTCACGATGACATGTATTCATTGTTTTCTAGCATCTAGGAAGAGACACTAGAAAACTATGAAGTTGGACAACACTTCCTCTCTCATTGAGGTTACCTGGTCATACCTGAAGTGAGTTAAGTCTTCAAGTTTTTGTCCTTTTCTAAATGTACTATCCCTGTTGATGGGTTTAGTTCCGATTTTAAGGATACTCAAGAAATTCATTCTTAGAGCCCTGTTTCAAGAGAAGTTCCTCTTCCTCACAAAAACTGACAACCTGCTCATTATTTTTTATGCCTTCTGTTTCTGCCAAGGTCAAAACACCCACCATCTTAGAAGAAAATTTTACCGAAAAAGGCTCATAAGATCTGTCCTTGTCTATTGACAAGTTGGACTCCCACTTACATGTACATGTATGCCACAGTACAAGGGTGTCCAATTTTTCCCTCTTACTTTTGGATTCTTGGGCTTAGGTTCCAAACGCTTTGGTGGTTGAACTTTGTCTAGGTTGTGATTACATGTGTTGGGGCACTCTTCATTTGGGATCTCTTTTTCTGTTTTTTAATTCATTGAAAGAGGGCACTGATGTAAACACAAATTGTACGATAGTGGGTGATTATATAAATTAGAGGTCCAATTTGGGGACATTTTGGTGTTCTGTTACGGATGAAACCATTCAGTTTTTCTGGATGGAATCAATATTAGTACTGTTCACAATCTGTAGATCAAACGGTATTACATTGTTTATGACGTGTACAATATACTATT